AGACTCGTGTCCGAGGGAGAGGCTGCTCTTCCCAGACGCTTGACTAAATGACCATGAAGGAAAATAAGGCACTTTCTTTTCTTTAGACTTATTCCAATACTTAAAAAATAAAAAAGAAAGACAAAAAAGGCTCTTTTGGTCTTTTGTTTTCTTGACAACCACCAGAAAAAATCATTTAATGAAATAAAGGGTTTCTTTGTTCTTTTTTCTTTTTTTTATAACACTTGAAAGTATAAAATGCTACATTTCCAAAAATATATATATTTGTTTTCTGCACCAGCACCCTTGTATAGTAAAAGTATCTACTTTGTGTTCGTTTGTTTCAATGCACTACACTTATCTACAATTCATCACGTTTACAGCAAATAGGCAAGCATGGCTTTTACATCCTTAATGAGTTTTTTTTGTTTTTGTTTTTCTATACAGGGAGGTTCCAAAAAATATCAAACAGTTTGCCCAGTTATGTGACACATTATGCATGTACCTTGTTCTCAAACTTTTTTTCCCCCTCCAATTTTTTTAAAGGAGGTGTAAAAGAAAGATTCGGTCATTCTGACTCGGATATTTGCTCTCTTTTCTCCTTTAAAAATAGTGTTACAGTTCTGTTCTTTACATTACTTTAAAAAAAAAAGTCTGTGTGAATTTCTCGCTCATGGCACAACATTCTTCTAACACTTTAAGTTTTGGCAGGCAATAAAACAGGAAAGAAAAGAAAAGCAAAGGCTGTAACGCCTGCCCTCCAAGGGCACTGTAGTGACTACGAGCGTATCAAATTGTGAATACTTGTGAGCGCACTTCACCGACCACATCATCCCTGACCCAAGGTGCACGCATGATGCATCACCGCACAGTACATTCAGAGAGAGCTGGGGCTCCGCTAGGAGGAGGGGGCTCCTGGAAGTCTCTCACAGTAACTGCCTCTGTCTCCGAGCGGCTCCACCACACCTGGCTCCCCTGCTAAGGGAAGGCGGCAGGCCTCTCACCGTTTGCGTCAGGTGGGGCTGGAAGAGGACCGATGCCGCGGGATGGATTGGACCTTATTGCTTTACTACTATTCAGTGCAGGTTCTAGAACCACTTTCACCCAAACGAGGAGAAGGGGAGGGGGAAAAAATAGCCGAGTTGGAGGACAACCATTTCTTTGTCTTTTGTTTGGTTAGATGGTGAGACGAACGGACAAGTGCCTCAGCTCGCTGCGCTGACGACAGGCAAGCAAAGGCGATTACCAGTTAACTGATCAGCAGGCAGGCATGGTCAGGTCATCATTGGGTGAAGAGTTCAGAGGTCAGAAGGTCATAGGTTAGTTGCCGGTGGCGGCTGGGTGGTTAGAAACAAAAAAAAAAACAAAACAAAAAAAGAAAGAAAAGATAGAGAAGAGATTAGTTTCAGCTAGTGACGGCTTAATGACAACATGAAAAACTAATCACAACTAATAAAAAAAAAAAGCATGTTTTAATTCTGACAAACTGATTTGACGCCATCTACAGAATACAATGAAAATCATGACCGTTTTGTATCATGATTTGAACAAATGAAGGAAAGCCCATTGCCCCCACCCCCCGAAAACACCCAAAACCAGAAAAACAAAAACAAAACAAAAAAACTGGTTAACAGGAAAATAGAAATAAAATACAACTAACAACTAATAGTTAGTAGCAGTCAATGAGGAAACTGGAAACAATGAGAGGTCTGCTACACAGACGTGGGAGCAGTCAGCGGCGTTACCAGGATCTGACTGCTAGTAAGCATTAGTATCCTCTCAGGTGCAAGCATTACAGCAACTATTAATGATGGGTGTGATTATTAATAACTGATGGACAGAAATGATTCTAAAGAAATTTAAATCTCTATGAACGTTTTGGTTCAACATAAACTCTGGGCCAAACAAGTTTTCTTTTGTTCAATAAATGTTTATTGCTTTTTTTTCCTCCAATTATTCTATTTACAAACAACATGGAATTTCCTGGCCTCATGATACAGAGCAGTACTAAACTGTCCTCTAGCAGGGCAGCAACCTCATGGGAGCCAGGGACAGGCCAGGCTGCCGGCACTGGCCAACACTTTCCAGTTGAAAGAAAAATACTATTTTACACATATAGAACACTTATAAAATGCACTTGCATGTAAACACTGTAAAGTTCTGCCATTTAAATTTCTATACTCAAAAAGCTCTACGTACATCAAAAAATAGAAGGAATTTCTAATTGATACCAATAAGGCATTTTGAAATGACAAACAGCGTCCTTTATTCAATTTCAAAGCTAATACTCTGCAAATACAATAAAATCTGACACTTCATATACATTACATTCCTGCTTTATAATTTTATATTTTAAAAGAAGCCACCTGTAAATACTATTTTCTTTTGCAAAACAAACAGAATAAAACAAAACAAACAAAAAAAATTACAGTAAAACAAAGTAGTTCTCAAGTGGAAAAGTGACCATTCCCAGTGTCCTTGAGCTATTCCTTCCTTAACGACCCGTCACATTCGGCTTCACCGAACTTGGTCCACTTAACAGTAGTACGATTTGTAAGACTCATTCACTAGCTTATTGTCGGCACTACACTCTGAGGCCTGACCACTCGGTGTGTACTGCTGTGCCCGTGACTAAGGTGGAGGGGACAAGGACTAAGGTGGAGGGGACAAGGTATGAAGATGCTTGGTGGCAAACCCTAGTGAAGCCCAGGGCATGTCACACGCTCACAGGGACCCCAGGACCTCTGTCATGGACTGGTAGAGCCACAAGAAAGTGGCCCTTGGCCACTTTTAGGATCTTTTATAAATACAATACATACGGAATAGGGCCTCTTGATATAACCCAAATCTTCCCTTTTTTTCAAAGAGGTGGGTTGTTTTTAAAATAAGCACGGCTGTTCCGGAGTCAGAGCGGCACATGAATACCTAACAAGCGTGACCACCGTGCCACTGCATGGGCACTCCAGGAGACAGCGCCGACTTCACATTTTGATTAAAGTGGCCTGGCTCTTCTTAGACAAGTTAGGGAAGTGATGGATTCTGTGAAATCAGTATTGAGGAAAATTCTGGTTCTGTGTGCCTGTGCCTGTGTGTGTGGGTGTGTAATATAAAGAGGGTAACCCCATAACACCCAGAGAATATCCTGCCGAGTCCTGGCCCCCAGAGTTCACACCGTGTGCCACCCATGCAAACCACAACCACATGTGGACCCCGAAGGCCGTGAAAACTGTGTAGATGTGCTTAGCCCAGTGAAGAACTAGATCCAGGCCAGTCACCCTTACTCTTGCCACTCCTGACCTGACCTCACATTATTAACCTCACCTCACACAGGCTGCGTCTCCTGGCTGTAAGTGAAATCATCTTGTCTTCAAAAGTTTGAAAACAAAAGAAAAACCCCTCAAAAATAGGGAGCAACAGTAGTATCATAAAATAATTTAAGGGAAGGGTTCCAGTCACCTTCCTTAGACCCAAATGAGTGCATACAGAGAGACTGACAACAGGACAAGGAGTCTTGTTATTTTTTAAAAAAATTAAATAAAAAAATACCATTTCGGTTTGCTGACATTGCATTTTTACTAAAATCAGTGACAGGACTAGTGAGAACACATAAATACAGGAGAGCATGGAATGTGCTGTCGTTTTCGAAACAGACTAAGTCTTCCTCTAATATCCTCCACCACTTCAAGACACAAGGCTGTGAGTAGGTCTGCAATTACTGCGTGAAAGTAAAATTCAGACAAATCCCCTCAGGGGCGGGGATACCAGGAAAGGCTAACAGCATCAAAACTACTTTCAAATACTCTTTAGAAGGATTTTAGACATTAGCAAATATTAATAAAGCTTCAAATCATTCATGAAAGTGCCTGATTTAAGCCTGTGGATGCCTGCCCCCACCCCACCTCCCACCTCTCAGGAGCCATGCTCTGCCTAACCCACTCTTACAAGGAGCATTAGCTTCCAGCTGCCCACAGAGCCCAAGGTTAACTTTGTTCATGGACTCATCCCTCTTAGCCAGGTCTGCTGGAGCTAAGAGTCTACAGGGCTTGGGAAGTTAAATATTTCTGCTGTAGGCTGGGCAGGTGGATGCCCTAAGTATCTCTGATTTCCAGGGGGACACTGGTCTGTGAGGTTCTTACAAAAAGCAGGCCCATCTTTCTAAGCTCAGAGAAAGTGGTCTGATGCAGTGTCAATCCCTGGCTTTCTCAGCAATGGGAGAGATTGGGACTAGCCCCCGCACGATGTGCTGTAACCACACAGGTGCAGAGAGGCAGGGACAACTCGATGGCAGTGCGCCTGTATGTCACAGAAGCTGGGGGGGGGGGGGAATTCCACCCTGCTTGGGATTCCTATCTCATAATGAAAAAGAAAACAAACAAAACTTACAAAAGCAATTCAATGTCAGTAAACCGAAACTATCACTTCACACACACAAAAAAGTAATGGTTTACAAGGGAGTCTAGGGCTCTAGAAAGATGGGGCACAAATTATAAATGGTGAAAAAGAGAAAAATGCAGACTCATTTTGCAGTCACAGGTTAGCCCCCAAAGACACACAGAGCTGGCTCTCCATCACCTCTGAACGTGAGAGGGTTTAGCAGCAAATGGGGGTGGGGGTGGAGATAAGAATCAAAGGATCCATTCTGACAAGAGAATGTAAGACTATACGGGAATTGACTTTGATCTTTATTTAGAAAAACAAAAAAGCAAAAAAACCAAACCGACTAAGTGCAGTTCTCTTCACAGTCCTGACCTGACTTCAGCAGTGCATCTAATGGGGCTTGAGCACTTTCCTTCAGAAAGGAAAGTGGAAGGAGACCCTCAGTTTTCCCCAGAAGCGTATAGGAGGCAGAAACTCCTCACTTCGCTCCTCATCCACCCACTCCCTATATCTTGCAACACCCACGCCAAATGTTTAAACTAACTAGAAGGTCAACTCCAAGCAGAAACTATCACTCGGGCAACATCAGACTGGATGGCTCCCCGAACTGACTGGCTGTTTTAGTAGGAATAACCATAGCACTTACTAACACAGATTTTAATAAGTTAAAATATAAAGGGAATTAAAAAAAAAAAAACCTAAAACAAAAAAACAAAAACAAAAGCAAAAACCAAAACAAAAACAAAATAAAACCCACAAGAAACCCCCCCCTTCTCCACCCCCTCCCCACCCACACACACTTCAATCTCTCCATGCTGACAAAGCCTGGCGTGCCGGAGTTGCTGCTTTGCCGGCCGCAGGCGGTCAGGACCCGGGTCCACAGTGTGTGGTGCAACACCCCACGCGTTTCTTAGCAACAAGAACTGCAGGACTAAACTAACCTCGGTCTGCGGTCACAATCCTTTGGTAAGGATGGACACGCATATCGTGCCTTCGAACTTTAGTAGCCACCGCACCTAGTTAAATTGCAATCACCAAGACAAAGTTAGAGAGCAGTCACAGGGAAAAACACAACAGAAAAACAAACAAAGAACATTAACAGCAGGTTTATCAAAAATGGACTTCAAATGTTCGTTCACTACAAAAATTGGTTTTAGGAAACATGTTAAGGCACAGTAGTTTTAAAATTAACCACGCTCTAGGCCGCAGGTATAGGCATCTAATCATATCGCACTGGCTTCACACACGGCGGCCTTCCCCTGGGCCCTCCGCTCCTCAGCAGGTGCATGACAGTGGGTCGTCTCTGCGTTAAGTCCAGTTAAGCTTACTGGTCACGCAGTCCCTGAGGAGCCTCTCCCAACAGGCCCACTGAAACCTGCCGTGCTGAAGACTGATCACGGCTTGCTAACCTTACGACTATTTTCAGAGTTGATCATGTATAGGTTTAGAAGCAACTCTCAAAGCCTACAGACTGTGGTTTTAAACTGTTGAGTCGATGAGTATGAACTGCAATGAATTAGGTGATTAGTAAAGCAAACAGTATAGTACTTAGCAGTCAGTACACTACTACACACTCCTTCATCAATTACAGCCACTTGGTCATATTACAGACAAAACCGAATTAATAACACAATTTTACTTTATGTCTATGTGCAAAAAGTGCAAGTAAGTCACTGACTGCTAGGCTAGGCTTTTGTTTGTGTTTGTTTTTCCCCCGGAGGCTGCTGAGACTAAGCATTTGTTAAATTCAGATCTGATGAGGGTTCGGTTAAGACCGTTCTTGAATTCTTAGCCTTTCGTTGGGAAAGCCATACCTGAAGATAAAAGGAAGGGAATTAAACATTAGTCACCAGTGAAGACTTGATGCTCACACCAACCTCCGCACTACCACCAACACGCACGCCTGCAACTGTCTGCAAAGGCTGCTCCTCTCCAGGTACTCTACCGGGAGCACCGACAGGCGGCATGCATGTTATCTGTGTGCAGGCCACTGTCCCTTCGCAGGGGGACACCGTGGTCTGAGTGCTCCAAGTGGCCAGCGCCAGCTCAGGTGACAGAGCGGGAGTGAAAGTTGGCTCACCACACCTTCCTTCTTCCCATTTAGCATGGATCCCAAATGGGCATCTGAACCTTTTATTTGTAATTTTGTCTACTCATTAAGCTTTGCTCAAGAGAAACTTCTGGATAACACAAAACCCATGTTGCTTTACAATGCAGAGTTCTGCAGCCAGGCCTCGAGTCTCTAAGCAGTAAGCGGCCCCACACCCTGCTCATCCTGATGTGCAACTGGGCCCCGGCAGGGAAGGCCAGCCCTACAACTCCTCGGCAACAGGTGCTGTGGGGGCAGCAGAGAGGAGTTCCAGGGGGAGGGGAGGAGCATGCAGGACCACAGGACAGAGGGTTAATAGGAAGGAAACACTTATAAAGGTTATATGTTACATGTTATATTAAAAAAAAAAAAACCAACCCAAAACAAAACAAAAAACAAGGCTTTAAGAATGTGCAGCAAAAGCCAGCCTCTTGGAGGGCCATGTGGTTTCACTCTGACCTGCGTCCCTCAGTACCCCACCCTGCCCCCTGAGGAACGCACCCTCGTGCAGTCCTGTCTCCATTCCTGAGACAAAGGCACCGGAGTGCATGCACGCACACAGATAACATACAGAGCAGCATGGCTTCATTTAATTCAACAATGGAGTTTTCAGGCTTATAGCTTAATGTCCACGTTCATGAAAGATTTTCAAAATTTTGTAAATCGAGATTAATGCTGGAAAGGAAGAAAACACAGATCCAAGTCCTAAAAAGTACACAGCACGCATGCAGCACCATGGTCCTAGACAATTCGGGGAGAGAGCTGTGGGTGGCGGGACCAGGGGCGGCCCTGGTCTGCTGCGCATGGACTGGCCCGCTGCACTCTAGTCCTTCGTCCAGCAAGTCAATGGGCTGAAATATCAGGCATGACTGGCATTTCAATCCACTCTATAAAACAAAGGCATCAGTCACGTCCCGGCACACTGCTGCTCACGCACTGCACTTTACTCTGCCTTTGCCCGAGCCGAAAGGAAGCCCCTAGGGGGGCCGGGTTGCCTGCCTGACCCAGGGCGCCCCCTCGGCCGGCACCAGGGCAGAGCCTCCCAGGGCCAAGGGCTAACTTGGGGTTACACAGAGAAAAGTGAAAAGGACCAGATCCTTTAGAAAGCCTTCAAATGCTATGGCATGGAATTTTAAAATCTGGCCACCAATGAAGCTAGCTTTGGAGACATAGAAATCTAACTGTGGGCAGGGGTTGGGGAAGGAACCTTGGTGCCACAATGGCTTAAGCAGCCCGCTGTCAGCCAGAGGGCCAGTGGTTTGAACCCAGTGGCTGCCCAGCATGAGGAAGAGGTAGGTGGCTGTTGGTCCCAAGAAGATGCCAGCCTGGGAAGCCTGTTGGGCAGTGCTACCTTGAAAGGCGGCCAGCTGAGGTTGGGGGATGGGGGTGGGGGGCAGTGGGTGGTCTGAAACTCAAGAGTGACTTTGGCAGTATCCGATGTGTGCCTTTACTCTGACATTAGTTCTCAAAGGTGATCTGAACACACTTAGGTGCACTCCTTAAAGGAGCAACTTTTGGAGAGCAGCACGAGACTCAATGGCCATCTTCCCTCAAGGAAATCTGTCTTGCCTCTTTGTAACCGATCAGGTCATTTCCATGTCTGGGGCAGCCAAGTTCCGAAGCAGTGTGTCGCTAACCATGGAAGGAGAAGAACTTACCTAATACACCACTAGGTTCAATGGGGTACTCAAGAATGGATGTCGCCGGAGCCAATGTGTAGGGGTACTCGTAGGGCGTGTAAATGAGCCCAGCTTCGGGCCCAGGCGGGACTATTGCAGCGGTGGGGTGAGGAGTTCCGTTTGGCATGACAGCGGTCTGTATTTGTCTGATCAAAGGCATTATGGTGGGGCCAGCTGGCGTTGGGGTGCGCAGGGCCGCTGGTGGGAGGACGGGCGCAGGCCCGGTGATAATCCGAGGAGCCGCCTGGGCTGTCGCTGCAAGAGAAAAGGCAAGGGCTGCTGCAGTAAGCAGAGAGATTCAGAAGGCAGCGCAGGGACAGCGGCGTGCGACACGGCATGAGAGAGTAGAGGAAAGGAAGGGAAGCAGGAAGGAAGAAAAATAAAAGGACACCATTAGTACATGCGCAGATCACACCAAACACCCAAGCACACCGACCAAATGCCAACGGACTTCCCTTGCCCAGGGTGGTTACAGCATGTGTGCAAACGCTCATTAAAAAGCCAGTGTGGGCAACATAAATCAATAAAAGGCCCACATGAGCCTCTGACATGGGTAGTCTTAGTTCACACCCCACAGGCTTACGCGTCTAAGGTCTCCCAGGGCTGAGATGCATGCAGGCGCACAGGCCTCCACCTACCAAGCCCTTCGACCCTCAGCAGGGCCAGAGCCGCTGTGCTGGCACTCAGCTCATCCCACCCCCGCTGAGCCACAGGGGTTTCCTTCATACATTGCACAAGGCTGCCACGAATGCACCCCTTCTACCTGACCTGGGCCTGTCCACGGTCCGTTTGTGCAAGCCCCCGCAGACATGAAAACTGCCCCGGGTGAAATGACCACAGACAGCTAAGCCCACGGGTTTACAGAAATGGTAGTGTGCATGCTATGCATGGGCTCAATTCTGTCTTTAAAACACTGTAAGAACCCTTTTCTTGAAGCTAAGGAACCCACAGCCCAAGCCTCAATAACAGGAGCCTGTGAGTGCCCCAGGGCCGCAGTGCATGGGCAGGATACCCTGGGGGAGGGGGGGAGGGAGAGTGGGGCATGCCAGCCAGGGGGCAGGGCTCAATCCACAGAGGACAATTTCACTCAGAGAAGCCAAGTTCACTTTATTAAAAGAAAGCTGTCAAAACCTTCCCATCTTATGCATTAAGTGCAACAAAGTAAGCTGGAAGCCTTCCACCCTCATCAGATGACAGAACATGAAATTCTCTGAAACTTGATGAAAAGAATCCGTTACAAGCCCCCAACTTAGACATGCTAGCATCTGGCACAACCCGAGGGTGGGTCTCCATCTGACTCTTACGTGATTTAATGTTGGCATCTCGGTAGGTGCCATTGAGAATCGCAAGCTCCATCAGCTGCATCTTCTTAAGGCTGTCTTCCCCTTCGGCCTATGAGGAGAAAAGAGAGGAGAGGGGCAATCAGCACTGAAGATGGGCCACACTCACAAGGCTCCAGCAAGGCCAGCCCAGGGACTGAAGGTGGCCCACACTCATGCTATCACCGGTTGGGTGTGGTGACACACAGCGTTCTCAACTTGCTGCACTTCTAGTCCAACACACACCACCATTGGCTTAGATTGCTACGAGTCTTAAAAACACAGGAAAACAGGCTGGTCTAAGCTGTGGGGAGACTGGCACTGAGTAGGGGCAGTGGCTACACAGTCTGTTAGGTGTCACTGAGGTGTGCCCAGAAAAGGGAGTTCATTGAAAAAATATAAACAAAAAAGCACACCCAGGTTGCAGTTGCTGATACTACTTAGGTACAACCGGCCACCGCAGGAACTGGTTCTCTGAGTTGAGAGGTTAGGTCCCTGGCTGTGGGGGTGTCTGGTTAGCTGGCTCAGCAGCAGCAGCAGTGTCTGGAGCCCAAGAATCAATAGGCCTAAATAAATCTTTAACACATAAACCAAAAATACCCTCTGAGCTGTCCTTTAGAGTGAACAGCAGCTTAGTAAATTAGGACACAATGTTCACCCAGGGCAGTGTTCTGCTGTAAACCTTTAAGGGAACCGGCTGCCTCAGGCTGCTCCCGCCATGAGTCTGGACCGCCTATATTGTGGGGAGCAGTCAGACACTTCACTTAGCCACAGCCTCGATGAGCACTTCAGGGCATGTTCAATCTAAGCCAATGTTGGTCTGCCATGTTTTTGTGACAATTTTCTTTGATTCCCCCAACCCCACTGTACCCTTTGAAAAGCTCTATTATCTCATTAAAAAACAAACGAAAGCAAAACCAGAAAGGGCAGCACGGATGCAGTAAGGACAAAGCGCAGAGGGGTGGCAAAGTGGGAGGGACTGGATAGGAGCCCCAGGGAGGCCCTGAGATCAGTGATGGCGCATAAAGGGGACCGCAAAGTGTGGGGAACAGAAGGATTTCTCTTAAGCTGTCTCCCCAATAATATGTACCAGACTTAGCTGCTTGAGAATGACTGTACTCTAGGCAGTCAGCAAAACTAGGTCAGAGGTTATTCTCCTTAACATCAGCCATCTAGAGCAGCCAGACTGACTCACCCCAAATTGGGCCCATTCCCTTCTGACATTGTTCCCTTGAAGCAGTGCCCAAAGGCAAGCCCGGACCACTCTAAGATGACTAGGTCATCCCCCTCCTATTGCTTGTATTGCCTATGTTGCAACCCCTCCCTATGACGCAGGTTGTTGTGAATTGTATTGCCCCTCTCTATGAAGCATGATGCTGTGATGTATCCTCCCAAAGTAATATGATGCGTGGTTAGCAATAAATAAAGAGGCTCCCTGGTTCTCAGGAGGGTGGCTGAGGAAGGAGGGCTGCTCCCGTGAGGGCGGCTCCCGTGAGGGCGGCTCCCATGAGGGCGGTGGACGGAGGGCTGCTCCCGCAAGGGAGGCGGTTCCTGCTCTAGCAGCCGGGTTCCCCCCACGAAGACCACCGAGTGGGGCGGAGGTGAGCAATGCTACAATGTAATATGTCTGACTGTATTATTGTATTATCTCTCATGCTCTTGGTGACTTTAATATAATGCTTATACATCTCAACCGTACAACTGTGCTTACTGAACCCGTGGGTAGTATTAGTAGCAGAGGTGGGTGCTGGCCCCTCACCTCCCGCTTCGTCATCTTAATACTACAGCAAAGGACAAACTAAAACGAACGTACTTGAATGGTTGAATGCAAAACCGACAGTCTGCTCTATAGAGCTCATCCAGTTCACAATAAAAAGCTTGCTCAAAATCACAACATGGGCAGTAGTGGCAGTCAAAGGAGTGTGTGACACAATGCGCACATGCAACCCCAAGACTGCGTGCATAGAAACCGAATGGCCAGTCCTGCTGTCTCACACGGCTAACAAGTCCAAGAGAAAAACCCCTATCTTCCAATTCCATCTCTCTAGAAACTTTCGAAACCCCCTTAGATATTTTCACAAGAAAATAAAATAGCCTAACTTTTAGGTGGGATGAATTAAAAGTTGCATAAGATTAAATACAATAAACCCCCTTCCAGTTATCTTGTCCGTTTACCGACTGTTCCATTAAAAACACAAACCCACAGGGACTTCAGACACACAAGATTAGATTCCGGTTTTCAGATAAGGAGCCCTGGCTACTAACCACCATGTAAGCAGTTCGAAAACACCAGCTACTTCCCATAAGTTACTTCCATAAAGAGTTATAGTCTCGGAAACCCACAGGGACATTCTATCCTGTCCTTTGGGACAGCTGTGAGTCAGAATTGACTCGATGGCAGCGAGTTTAGTTTGGTTTTGTTCAGGTAAGAGAATTTTACATTTTATTCTCCCAAAAGGAAAATTCAGTGATTTATGATAATCATACTGATCTTAAAGGCCGGTCTATATGTCCTGCTTTTGTATATTACTTCCTTGATCTATACTAACCAGCAAGTGTTAGTAATTCTACGTAGCACCTCACAGAGCCCTAGTTGCAGTTTGGTGAGTGTGCTCAGCTGTACCCAACAGGTCCCCAATCCAAACCCACCGACCACACCGTGGGAGAAAGACCTGGCGGGCAGCCCGGAAATAAAGATCACAGCCTTAGAAATGTGGTGTCCCGTGCAGTCATCCATTTCATGGCACTCCATCCTGGAGGGTCAAGTGACCTATTGTGCCGACGAGCAACTTTCTCAAGCACATGGGCACACACCAGGCCCATGCCTGACCTCAGAGATGGCCCACCCTCTCCACTGCCTGCTCCCTCCCAGCTCTGGTCTTTCCTGATTCATTCAAAACTGCTCCAAGACTGTGAAAAATACCTGCCCTCCAATCAGTCTATAAACTGCAGTCAGATCAAATGCTTCAAATACAGCTTTCATCTTTATCTTTCTTATTAACATTCTCATGTCTCAAAACCCTTCATGTTTTCTTACTCTCTAAAACAAATGACTTTTAGTATCTAAAGGTACTATGATTTTGTCACATTGTATGTTAACATGTTAAACACATGGTCTTGTTACACACACACGATGGGCCACTGTAAGACTGCACATGAGCTAAGCCATTTTTTTGGAATCTTCCCCAACACTCCCCTATCTACAGTCCATCCCACCTCTGGGCCATATATTTTCTCCCTTGATGATCATTTCTGTGATCTCTCCTTCTGTAGGTTAGCCCCTTGAAAGGAGTCTACCTCTCATACTACCCAACTTTTGTTAGATAACCCTTAAGCACTACAGCAAAGCCCACAGAGATGGCGACAGACCTCCACTCACATGCACTTAGGTGATGCCTGGGTGGATATTTAAGACAGTAAGCCAGCGAGACACCCACTTCTGCGTCACTTTAGTCCTTTCTAAACTCAAGTGTAAGGCAAAGAAAGGAGAGGACTCTCTGCCATTCTGTAATTAATCCCCCATCCCTACGTTGGCCACCGAGGCGGGCTCGGTCAACTACAGTTTGCAGTGCCACTGAGAATTAGAACAAAACAAAGATGAGTGGAAACAGCATGAAGGCGTTGAGTGAAGTGCTACTGCCCAGGTCTTTGAGACTCCCTCTGTAGCATGAGGAAAGCGAACGCAGGGGAGACATCTCCGTGGTGAATGGACTATCTCCCTGCCCCCCCCCCCCCCCCCCCCCCCCCCCAATCTGCACAAAGGTGAACGAGGGATCTCTCTGAACAACAGTCATTGATGGCTAAAGAGAACATAGGGAAGCACTCGTGTGGGAAGAAAATTAGGTGGAAACATTATGAGACAATTCCTTAGGCTTGTTCACTCAAAAGCAGTATGAGGCAACTGCAGACATACCTCCAGCAATCTTTCACAGGAGAGGAAGACGTAGTGCAAGTCCGACAGTGACAACAGATAGCACGGTGGGTAGAATGACGACCAGGACAGGGCCATGAACAGAGGTGTCCTGGCTTATCGCCACCACCTCCTCCCAGCTGATGGGTGAAAACTGCGTGTAGGGGAAGGTGTGCATTTTGTGGGTTCAGAACACTGCAGGATGAGTGGGGTGACAGGAGAACAAAACCTAGCAGAATGTGGTACCCCACACAGTGATGTCACTGGAGGCACTGGGACGAGGCAGGGGGTCACACCCATGACAATGCAGTCTATCACATCACAGTGCTCCAGTTAGCTCCCAGCAGGGCAGCAGGCTGAGTCACCCCACCCCCACCCCATTCTGGGTCCCCAGAGACAGCAGAGCTCATTAGAGAATAGAATGATTTGACACAAAAGTAGCAGTCAATGCTGATGTCAAGTAGGTCTTCGCTGAAAGCAGAGAACACCAGAAATAGGTTTATCTAGGCTTAATTGTGCAAAGGCATTCATTTGTGTGGACCACAACAAATTATGGATAATGTGGCAAAGAAGCGGTATTCTGGAAAACTGTGCTCAGGTGGAAACTGCACATAGACGAAGAGGCAATATAATTCAAATCAGAACAAAGAGATAAAGTGTATGGTTTCATCCCAAAAAGTATATGAGCACTAGGTATGTTGCGTGTTATATTCTTTCACCATACTTATTCAATCTGCCTGTTGAGCAGGCAATCCAAGATGCTGCGCTATATAAAGAAGCACACGGGCACACGATTGGAGGGCTCATTAACAACCTGTAATATGCAGAAGGTACAACCATGCTCGCTGCAAAGAGAAGCATTCAAAGTACTTCCTGATGCCGACTAAAGACCACAGTCTTCAGTACAGACTATATTTCAATATCAGCAAAAATATCCACAGATGGCCCCCACCCCACCCCGCCTACATGGAGAAGAGTCAGGTTGTCAGAATGTCACCTTACTTGGAGCCACAATTAATGAATGTCCATGGAAGCAGCAGCAGCCAGGAAATCAAAGCACACGCTACATGGGGTAAATGCACTGCAAAAGGACCTCTTCAAAATGTTAAAGCGCAAAGAGGGCAGTATCTGCAAGATGTAATAAAGCCCAGTGCGATTAAGTG